AGAGGGAATCATGGAGCAGGGGGAGCCCAGGGCAGGGGCATGGGGGTGTTACTGAGCCTATGAGACACTGGAGAATCCCCACTCCCCAAGTCACGTCACGGAGTGAGGGAGGATGGATGGATGGATGGTGCATGGATGCATGGATGGATGGGTGGATGGACGGATAGGGTGTGCAAGCACCGGCTGCTCTCAGTCACACAGTTTGGGGTGGGCACACTGGGCCTGTTGTCCCTGTCCTCCACTCACCCGTCCGCACCTTCTCATGGCTCCAACTGCCCCGCAGGACAGAGAAGGTCTCTCCCTTTGGGGCAGCCTCACCTCACCCTGCCCTGCCCCTCAGCCCTGCCTTGGGCACCTCCATGCAAGCCCAGAGCCCAGGGACCCAAACCCACCATCCTGCCCAGAGTGGTGAAGCCCACCCTAAAGTGGGGGCTGGCTTATCCCCTGGGTCTCCATGGCAGGTTCAATATCTATCTCCATGTGCTCTCCTGGAGTGATGCCTGGGCACAGGGAGCACCAGGGACCCTGCAGCCTCAGGGGTCCACAGGTCACCCCCGTGCCCAGGTCTCCATGTGCCTCCTGTGCCCATCTCTGCCCATCAGGCTCCACTCACAGGGTGCTAGGGCACTGAGGGAAAGGTCAACCTCACAGGTAGGGCTGTCCCTGTCCTACAGTCCTGCGGACGCAGCAGTCCCCGGCCACCTCCAAACCCAAGGATTGTTGGGAAGTGGGGAGCTCCTGGTCGGAGTGGGGCAACGAAAGGCAAAGGAGGTCAGGACTGCATATGGATGGTCCTCTAACACTGTAAATCCCTGGGGACACTGACCCCCAAAGTGGGGCACCCCTAAACCCTCCCATGCCTGGTTCATGAGGGACATCAGCTCATGGGGGCCTGGGGGGAACCCCTGGTTCACCCCACACTGGGTGCCCCCATGCTGGGCACTGGGGTGCTCCTGGCTGAGGTCAGATGTGCCACCAGGAGCCAGAGGCAGTGGGATGCTATATCCCTCCACCCCAGGAGGTGCTAGTACCCCTGTCCCAGAGCTGAGCCTGGCAGATATTCCCAGAGGGGCAAATGGATTAGGGATCACACCACAGACTAAAGCTTTGCAACAAGGGCATTAGGGACAAGTGTCAAGGGACAAAGCCCTTGACACCCACTGATGGGTAGGACCCACGAGCGGCACCCAAGGGTGCTGGGGATGAGTAAGCCAGGGGACATGCATCTGTCCCTCCTGTCCACACATCATCCTGTGGGGCTGCAGGCTCACCCTGCTGTGCCCCCACCTTGTCCCCAGGTCTGGGGGATCTTGGGATGCACCAGTGGCCTGGAGTGGGTTCCAAGGGAGAAGCAGCCAGAGCCAACACACACTCAAAAAAAACCCATCCCATGCTCTGGTGCTGGGGCGGGGAGTCCCCATTGCTCCTGGCTCCAACCCCTCCTGTTTGGGTGGCTCAGCATCACCCATGCACGCAGGAAGGAAGACAGGGAGCTCAGACATGGGTCTCCTCCCCACCAGCACACATGGGACCCCCACATCACCCTGAGGTGGGAGGTGGGTAAAAGCAAGAGGCTAAAGGCTGTGCTGGGGGGAGCAGAGCACCCCAAAAACCCTGCCTGCCCATCCATGGCAGGGGGGGCGCTGCGTTTTGG